GGTGGATTCTTCAGACAGTTCCTCCCCACTGAACCAGGGGCCTTGGACCAATGAGCAAACAACATAATATCCTGTATTTATTTTGTATTTTAATTCCTAGTGAGAAAATTCTGATTCTCCTTGTTTCTAGTATTGTCTAAAGTACAAAGACATTCATTCCTCATTTAGTATAGGCTCAGTTTCTAGACTGTTTCTATACAACTAATGCTTTGCAAATATGGGCTTTGATTTGTAGTCTTTTTTAAAAAATGTATATTAAAATCTAAAGTTCTCCTGTGGAGTTTCAAGCCTCTGGTTTCACCTCTCCTTGTCTGTCCGCTGCAGAGCTGCCACGTTGATTCTCCCAGATGCCACTCTGGCCTTCACTGAGCCGTCCATGGCTCCCCCTTCCTTTGGGTGAAGTCTCATCTCTTTCTCATGTTCATGTTTTCTAATTATTTGCTTTGTCACTGAGCAGTTCCTTTGAGCCTTCCAACAACACATTGGCCATGTGTTGGAACCTGTGTCAGGCTGCCTTGCTGGTCCACTCACTCCAGCTGCTGCCCTTTCCTGCCCCTCGGCCTCCCACTGGGAACCCGTTTTGTTTGCTTCCTCATCTTCCTCCACAAACTTGAACATCAGGCCGGCTTTCCACGCATGATTCCTGCTGCTCTCCAGTTCTGACTTTGCAAGTTAGAAGAGTTGTTTTGCTTCACCTGTCCCAGTTCAGCCCACACTCCGGTGAATTCCTATCCTTCCCAAGGTTTCTATTAATTCATCCTGCCCCAAGGGTGGTGCCAGAGGCTCACACTCCAACTCAGCATGGCTCTAGCCAAGATGGCTCTTCCTTCCATCCGAGGATTCTCAGGTCTGCCTGTTTGATCTACCATTTGCTTCACCTGTGATTCACCCCACTCAGATAGTCTTCATCAACTCCTAATATTCTACCCGCCCTGCCAAGCCCTGATCACATCCCTCATCTTCCAGGAGGCTTTTCCCGACTCTTCCATCTGGAAGGAACTTCCTTTTCCTCCAGTTTCAGAGCTTTACTGAATCGTGTAGCACACGAATCAGACAGTGCCTGGTGTGAGCTACCAAGAACAGAATCAGTCCTTGCTTTGTCTTCTAGCTGCCTAGTATGGCCATGAGGTTGTGCTGTGCATGGTGATTAAGCGACCACTTGACTGATGTGGATGAAAATGGGCCACATGCTAATCTGACAAGCTCAGGAGAGGCCTGTGTGTTGGCCTTACAAACTCAGAGACCTAAAGTAACCACATAGGATGGTCTGAAATGAAAACTTTTTAACTAAAAAGCAGTTTATGGTGATTTGTTATATCCTAGGCTGGCATCTTCCCTGACAAAGGTCAATCTTTACCCTAACTGAGCTTATTTTCTTTTTACATCTACGATACTATACTGTTGTAATGTCAAAGTAATTTGCCTTTTCCTGGAACCCTCAAAGCACAGGCACCCTTCTGTGGAGACCACAAATCCCCTCATTGTCATTGAGTTGTTGACTATTAACTATCATATACTCACACACACTTTTTACATATTATTTTACTTTTTATCCAATCCCAGAGGCTCCACCACCCCCCCTCCCCCCCTGCTTTCTCTTGCCTCCCTAAATTATCACTAGTGGATTTCATGTAACCCAGTTACCTCTCCTCTTTTGGTTGTAATGTATAAAATACGGTGCAAAACTGCCATCCTCGGAGCATTATTTAGATTTTGCTTCTCAGCATTTGTCTACAGTTTGACTCAAATAAACTCACAAAAATTCCTCACAGATTAGAATGCTTCTTACCTTGACACTGATGATGAGATATCTCAAACTCTGTAGTCACGGGTGAAATTCTTGAAAGCTGGGAAACACTAGCCCAACAGCTTACAGCTTATAGGTTTCCTGAGCCTGTACTGGTGGGGTGTCTTCTACTCCACCACTTAGTGTCTTTATGATACCAGGTGGTCTTGTCCATTTTTATTTTAGTTCTTGTGATTTTTCTGTGGTTGGTTCAAAATTGAGCTCTTAAGACTGGTCTGAAATTTTAATTTCTCTCATGTACATGTAGGACAGTGGCCACCACTCAGCTGACCTTTGGTCTCTAGGAGAATGTTTAAATCCAAATATTTTCTCATTCTAAGTAGAATGGGCTGGGACAGGTTGCATATTTTAGCGGAGAGGCATATGTTGAGGAACACTCAAGTTGTAACTGATGCTTAAAATTTATTCATGCATTTCACTGTAGAAAGGACTTTAAGAGCCTGTGAATGTGGCTGAAGGGTACTCCTGGGAATGGTTTATCATTTGTAAGTCACAACACCTTGCAGGGGGCTAGTTCTGCATGGGTGTGTGTGTGTCTGAGACTGGTTTTTGTTGGGGAGGGCTGTAATTGAGAATTATGACACAAAGACTTCTGAGGTCATTTCTACTGAAGATGATACTAAGCTAAAAGAGGAAAGAATAAAATGGAATTGAGTCAAATGGGGACATTTTATGTTAGTGAAACATAAGCAGTTTCTTATTTAATAGATAGTTAAATATCCACCTTAAAGCATTTCACCCTTCAGTCTGAGGCCAGCCCCTGGGCTTTGCCATTTCTATACCGACTCCGTTTTCTAGAAAATGTGTCAGTGATTTATGGTTTATACATCAGCTAATGTATGACCTCACTGGAGAAGATGGGCTAGCTCAGCCTTCAGACTTGAAGGGGCCATTGTCTGTGATTTTAATTTAGTTTCCATTCAAGGTTACTGCTTTGTTGCTGTGGTTTCTGCTTGTATATGTGGGTGTTGTATCGAGTGATATATGTGCCTCCTGAAGGTGGAACTCTACCCGGGCAAGGGCTGACCTTAGGGAGCAAAGGGTCCTGATGCTGTTCACTAGCCTTCATGCCCCAGAATGGTAAAATCCTTGATATAAACAGTGGCATCTTAAAACTTTTCAGGGGGTATGGGCTTCCAATCGTGCTTTTTGGAACTGGTTTTTGGTTCGGAAATCAGATTCCAAAGGAAGTTATGCTGTCCCCTGAGCCATGTGAATTCTGAGCTGGGCATTCTGCCACTTGAATGTTGCCTTTTTATAAGGAAGGGGCCTGGATTCAGCAGGGATGTTCTCTTCCTACAGTACTTATTGTCTGGTTGCATCAAGGATTCTGAATTCTTAGTCCTCTTGGCCTCTGTCCCCTCTGCTGCTTAAGAGGATGCCGTCCTCTGCAGGCCTGACTCTTGGATGTCCTAGCTGAGGGGCCTCATGGGCTCATTTATGACCTCACTAGGGGAGGCTAGGGAAACTCAGCCTCTACACCTAATTATCAACCCTCAATTTTAAATTTAATTCTGATATGTGGGAGCCAGTAGAAATCTCCAGGTATTCATGGCAGCAACCAGTGGCTCTGTCCAACTTTATTACTTAAATTTTGATTAAGTTACAAATAAATACAAGGACATTTTAATACTAAATTACAAAGCAGATTTTAGGTCTCCGGAAAGTTGATGTATTCAAATATGCTGTTTAATAAAGAAGTCTCAACTAACATATTTGTTGCCACACCCGAAGAGATATTATTGGTGTAAGAAAGAATTGGCCGCTCCTAGGAATTTTTCCTGGGCTGGGGATGCCTCCTTACCTTGGGGAGAGCTCCCTTACTCCTCTTTTGGCCTCAAGGATTTGCATCTGTGCCTTCTCCTTTCCAAAGGATGATGTCAAGAACTTTTAAAGATTCTGCTGGGGCCACATAGGGATTCGGGATTCTGCTGTGTGTCGGGGCACCTGGCCTGTGGGCGCCTTCTCAGGCAATCTGAATGAGTTGCTTTGGCTCACCCCATCACTTCCTATGAATTAACCAAAGGCACCTCTTGGAGAGATGATGTTACCTAGTCACTGCCCTCTGACCTCTGAACCTGGAGACTTCAAAATTGCTCTTTAGCAGATACAAAATTTTACAAATTTCCAGATGCTGTAATTCAGTTTATTTTCTGCAGGCAGATGGCTTTTTAGATAATTACTGAAGGAGACGGTGTGGGAATTATTGCATAGAGGAATAGCCAGAATGTTCCAGAATATTCTGGGAAGTTCTTTTCTTGCCATCATTCTCAGCTGCTGCCTAAGTGAGTGTGTGATGGGATAGGCAACATCAGTGTGTTCCAGGTTTATGGCAGCCAGAAGCTGCAGAGCGTGGAGAGCAGGAAGAAACTGTGTGAAGGAGGACAATAGAAAAAGCATGAGTCCTGAATGCAGAAGTGCAGTATTTGAAGTCCCAGGCGTCCTTAAGGAACAAGGGCACATTTCCTTTATGCATAAGAAGTGGGAAGTAACCTATTTGCTGGACCAGGGGTTCTAGGGGGGCTGGTGTTTTGTGGTAGACTTTCTCTCACATTACAACATCAAGTTTGCAGGATTTTTGTATGTTAAATTGGATGGGGAGATTGGATGGCTTGGCTTGGTTTTAGTACAGTGAATCATTTTTATGCTTTATAATTTTTTCCAATAAAGTCTCATATTGTGAACCAGATAAGTCAACATAAAAATACAAACTCAGATTTTTGATATTAATTTATTCTAAAACTTCTGCCTTTAATCAACTATTTTAAAAATGTATTACTTAAGGACTGTATTAAAAAAAGAAAGCATGAAAGAGTCATCCTGCAATGGGTAAATTCACACAACCAATCTGACCTTGACCTTCAAACTGCTTAAAGTAATTCAAATGGGTTTGAGATGATGGCCCTTTCCATTGTTCTCTGAAATTTGTTTTCATATGTTAACAGCATCTGAATTTTTATTTCTCCTTTTCTGAAAAGAGAAATACATAGGTGCATGGATATGAATTAAGCCAGGACTGTCCTATTTGTCATTTTTAAGCTATCTTGTGTCACTATTTTAAGTCTCACGTTGCTAAAGCAGCTTCATCTGGTTGTGCATGGCACTAATGGAACGTTCTAGAATTGATACACAATGACTACAACATCTTTTAAACTGGGTAGACAGGATCATTTTTTTCTCTTCTTTTTTGCAGTGTTGGAGTGTGAGAGTTGAGCTCCAGTGAGCAGATGGCTGTGGATCCTTAGTGTGATACATGATCCAAGAAACACTCCAGCCTTTTCCTCCTTGGTAAGTCAGACATCCAGGTGGGAAATGAAGGAACCAACAGTTTTATAGGTTCAGATACTGTGACAGCTGACGAGCTTCACTTAACTCTGCTGTTAAAAATGGCAGTGAATGGGCAAGCTTTCAGAGAGACAAGTCTCTTTATGGCAAAACTATTTTGGGCCAACCCCTCAGCCAGGAAACCCAAAGCCCTGACTGGGTGCTATTGACACAGCATCCTCTGGCCCACCATGTGCTTGTCTACCTGGTTTCAGTTTTATTTTGCACCCATAAACATACTGCTATATATATATATATATATATATATTAGAGGCTCAGTACACAAGATTCTGCACTGGGCGGCAGGGGGGACCCCTCAGCCTGGCCTGCACCCTCTCATAGTCCGGGACCCCTCAGCAGACATCCTTAGCATTGCTGCAGAGGCATGAGAGGCTCCCGCCACCACTGCTGTGCTCGCCAGCCATGAGCCCTGTGGGAGCTCACTGACCACCAGGGGGCAGCTCCTGAGTTGAGCGTCTTCCCCCTAGTGGTCAGTGCGCGCCATAGCGAACAGTCGTTCTGCCATTTGTTGATTTGCATTTTACCCTTTTATTATATAGGAAGGAGGAAGGATTAGGACAAATATGCAATTATTTGGGGTTACCTGGTAATTATGTTGCACAAAAGTGTTCTGGTATCAAATCTCCCTCTTTTATTATAAGCAAAAGCAGATGTTTATAAGAGTCAAGTTGAAAAGGATTGGCATACTTAAATCATGGGATAAGATGGGGATACCCTTTGCCACATACATCAAATAATGTGATTTTTAAAAAACTTTTTCTTAAAAGGGTACACTGACACTTTAAGGCCTATTTGATAGGTTTTAATCTAAAAAAATTGGCAAAGAAAAACCACTTAATTTGTGTTTATTTAAAGAGTTTACGCGGGGAACTACTCTGTTTGTTGTTCATTCGTTCATTCATTCATAGAAATAAATCATTGTAGCAAGCCCATGAGTCAAATGTAGCAGAACTTTTCAAGAACCACTGGTTCCTATGTACTTCCATGAGTGATGGTAATGTTTTCTTCACTTTAATGGCAATGATATAAAAAATAAAATTATGGTTATAAAAGTGATGAAAAACTATATGTGGTACCTAATTAACTGGAAAAAAGAAATTGCAAAATAATATTTAATATAACCCTATTAATCTTCAAAATATACAAACGCAAATGTGCAAACATATAATCTCTACCCACAAGTCATGTGTGTTATAAAGTCTACGAGAACATTTATCAATATATACCAAATTGTAAATAGATTAACACTGCAATTGAGGATGTTGGCACTTCATGAGCCTTATCTTCACTATCTAAAATTTTCAATGTTAAAGTTTGCAACCTGAAAGAAAAATGAATTAAAATAGTGAGTGCTCATTATAGAAAATATAGCGTGGAGCAAAAGTAGGCTTACAGTTGTAAGTATGTGAAATGGAGTTTATTCTGGTATTATTATTTATTAATTATTACAATATTTTTCATACAAACAATGGTAATTCTAACTTTTGCCTCAGCCTGTATGTACAAGAAGGGCACAATTCCCCCATAATCCCTTAGCTAAAGACAAAGGCCTTTGCCCACATCTTTGGCATGTGCCATGGTTGGTCATCAAACAGGACAGCACCCAACCTAGTCACACCGTCCTAGGCTATAATATGTTTTTGATTAGTAATTCATAGATTTGAATTAATATTGGCCATAAAATTTTATATACCGCTTTTACACTTGCTATAACATATACTTGTATATTATAAACATATATGTTGATGCTTGCCGGGGTCCAACCCCAGCGGGTCCAGGGGTCCCCAAAGGTGGGGACGGAGTCGGCAAAGAAGGAATGACACGGAGGCAGCGTTTAGTTGATCAGCAGCCTAGCCAGGATCTCCAGCCAGGATCTCCAGCCAAGTTCTGGTCTGGATCTCCAGCGAAGTTCTGCTTAGGATCTCCAGCCAGGTTCTGTGTCCATGTTCTCTTGCTAGGTTCCCAGGTTTTCCAGCCAGGTTCTGTAGCCAAGTTCCCTCGCTAGTTTCTCCAGCCAGGTTCTGTCCAGGTTCTCCAGCCAGGTTCAGTTACCAAGTTCTAGTCAGGTTCTCTTGCCAATTTCTGTAGTCAGGTTCAGTCCAGGATCTTTTGCCATGTTCTCTCACTAGGTTCTGTCTCTAGGTTCTGAGGCCAGTTTCTGTCCAGGATCTTTTGCCATGTTCTCTCCAGCGAAGTTCTTCTGTCTCTAGAGAACGTTCTGTGTAGGTTCTGTGCCTAGGTTCTGACTCTCCTCGTTCTGTCTTCTTACATCTGTATTTATACCAGTTGATTCCAATCCTATCAATCTCTATTTCAAAGGTTAGGGCGTTTCTTATCTCCATTCCAGGGAGTAAAGATTATGTAGCTTAAGCATGATTGTTCGTAGTTAAAGTGATTAACTACCCTCCTGGCACTTAGTTAAGGAGTTTTATCCCCTCCCTGACTTCAGGGAAAAATCCCTACCTGGGGAAACAACCTTTCTCAGAGAGGAGACCTTGGTTAAAACACATAGTGCCAAGAAGGTTAGCAAACATTTTAAGAACAGTATGCCATATATGCCAGCTCCCTTGAAACAGCAAAGATGGACCGGCTCCCGGCAGATGCTATATCATATAATTGAAGATTGTTAATGACCCTCATTTAATGCATCATACTAGTCTATCATGTAAAGGAACTATAATGTAATTCACTGTCTTTTGGGGGTAGATATATATGTTATTTCCAGTTAAGAAAAATAATAGATGATGCTGAAACAATCATGAGAAGCACGTACCTCTTACACTTGTTTCCAATACTGCTTTCTAGCTTTTTGTAGGTCACACTATCTCCTGCTTTGTGAAAATCAGAAATTTGGTGTATGAAATCGATATTTTATCAACAATAGCAGCTGGTACTGTAAAGCTTTCTTTTAGTTGAAGGTTAATTCATTATGTTACAATAGCTGTAGCTGACTTATAATTTCAAAACCAAGGAGTTTTAATGAGACTGCTAATTGGCTTTGGAAAGTGTTGTAGATATTTATATTTTACCAATAATATGCCAGAGAGTTTGCTTTGCTGAAACATCACTGAGTATTATCATTGATTGTTTAGTCAATTTGTTAGTTTTTCTTCCTTTTTGTATGTGTCATTGCTTACTCATTATGTTATTTGGTTGGTTTCATTTTTTTAAATATGTATTTATTGATTTCAGAGAGAAGATGGGAGAGGGAGAGAGGGATAGAAACATCAATGATGAGAGAGAATCATTGATCTGCTGCCTCCTGCATGCCCCCCTACTGGGGGGTCTGCAGCTAGGACATGTGCCCTGACTAGGAATCAAACCTTGACCTCCTGGTTCATGGGTTGACACTCAACCACTGAGCCACACCTGCTGGTGATTATTAGCCATTACTTAGAGAGAGAGAGAGAGAGAGAGAGAGAGAGAGAGAGAGAGAGAATGTGAGAGATTTGTTTGTTTTTATCTTATGCTTCTGCGCTACTGAGATTCAGAATTTTTATTACAGATTTTAACAGTCTTTAAGAATATTAATTCTTTGTTGTATTTTTCTCCACTTCATTTGCTTAACTTTATCTTCTTAAATTTAAAGTTTATTGTAGTGTTGCCTAATTTTTGCTTTATAATGATATCAACCAGTGCTTAGAAAAATAATAATTTTTTAAAACTTTCTTCTAATCTTATCAATATATTCAATGCTTTAATTCAGGAAAACAGTTCAGTTAGCTTTATAAAAATAGATACTTACTTTTGTGATTTTTCTCACAGCTTTATTCTGCCTCTGTTCTTCCTCACTGATAAAAATCAATCCTAAGTTTTAATTTAATGAGGATATTCAAACAATTAAAATATTTGTATGGATGAAAGGTCTCAGTTGCACATTGCTTCATTCTACAAATAGAGACCATATTTAGAGCCAGACAACTGAAATTTTTTTTCATTCTTTTATTTATTTCTCTTTTGGTTAGGGAAAGAGAAAGGTTAACCTATATTTTGAGATGTTCTACAGCCTTTACCTATATTTTTAACAGCTACCTTTATATATATAAAACTTTTTAATAAGAGAAAATTTATTTAGAAAGTCAGAGGGGTAGAGTCATAGAAGAAAATCAGCTTAGGAAATAAGTTACAGAGGCAAAAGAAGGGCCCTTGGAGTTTATAGGAAAGAGAGAGAGGCAAGGAAAACTCACCTGGGAGGAAAGTGGTGGGGAAAGGTGTGGTCGTGCTCCTTAGAGAGAGCCGCCTTGTATACGTTATTTAATAGTACTTTACCTGTTATGTTGACTGTTAACAAGTCATTGTCACAGTGCTTTTTCTGTCATTTTATTTTTGTTCCTAATGTTTGGTGTTGTTTGCTTTAAATTTTATGTGGTGTTGTGTCCCCAAGACCAAGGCAATACTGGTCAACTATACCAGTGATGTGCAGGTTGATGTCCTTACTTGTTGAGTTGAGAGCACTTGCTTAGAATATTAATTGGTTATGGTGTTTCTGCAGTAACTGTTTCACAGTTTATAAGTTCCAAGAGATAGAGAATTAGCTAGATTTCTCTTTCTGGGCTTGGACAGATTGAGCCACAACTCAGTTCTCCATCTATACTTTTCTTGGTTTTCTAGATTCATTGGCTGTAAAACAAGGAAAGTGAAAGGATATCATTTGATACTAGAAAAAGGCAGTGAGAAACCAGACTTAGTTTCGGGAGACAGAATCCACATGTGAAAAGAATGTGCTTACTGATTTATTGGTGTTTTAGTTGGTAACATTGCTGATAGGAATTTCATTTTGTGGTATTTGCTGTTCATTTCTATGAATATTATTGATATGGATACATCACTTGCTTAAACATGCTGTGTGGTTGTACTGTGAGATAAAGATTTAGCCTGTCATTCTTAATGTTGTCAGAAATACTGAAGCTATGGACTCCACTTCTTGTTCCTGCCCTATTGTC